TGGAGGGGGGCCAGCCACTGGTGGACGGGGGCCGTGGGGCGGTCACGTGGTCCAAAGGAGCTCTCGAGAACCTTCGAGAAAGAGCTCGAGAGACCTGGAAGGTGGGCGGGGCTGAGGGCGGAGCCAGCCCCAGCCCGAGGGCATATAAAAAGGGCCCCGTGAGGAGCTCGGGGTTCTTCGTGTGCTGGTGTTACGAAAATCCACGTCGGGGAGAAGAAGCCTCTAGCCACACGGTCTGGGACCCCGTTTGTGGTCCGGACCGGGATAGCGAACCGTGTCTAGTTCTGCCGTAGCGTGGTTAGATGTGCATTCGAGACCCGAGTGTAGATCGTGTTGTGGTGCATGTTAATGCGGACTAAATAGTGTTGCTCCAAAGATAACGTCTGCAACTCAGTTGGACTCACTACATGGGTGTGTGTGTGATGCTTAGCTTCGTTGTTTAGGGGTGTATTATGTGTATGTGATTATTTGTGATTTCTTTGTGTGTGATGTGATGCTTGGCTTCGTTGTCTAGGGGTGTATTACCAATCGTGAAAATACAATTATTCTCGCTTTAACATTTACTGATTATGATTTTAGTGCATTTATGTCCAGGCTCAGGTTTCAGATCTCGCCGCAGGATACAGTTCTTATATTTAAGATAATTATGCATGAACTTAGGTAGGAACCACTCAAGACAAACCCTGGGAACCTTATTTCACCTTAGAGCAATGCCAAAAAACTCTGGAATGTAAGATGGACAATTATTGCTCGGAAATTTATGTTAGAAAATTTGTTACAATTTTTTTTATTGTAAAAGTAAAAAAAAATTAATGCTTTAGAATTTTAAGTGTTATTGAACAAATATATCATATATGAACAATGTTGCGAGAATCTCTTACACATTAGTCATGGGTGAAATAAGTGTATTTTTGTAGGATGGTACAGAGGGGAAAAGAGAGCCATGAAGTTCGCTATCCCAAGAATTTGTCAGGAACCCACTAACCACTCAAGCAACTGCTATTTCTGCATGGTGGAACCTTCCAAACGTTGGACTGGCAAGAATGCACCTGCTATCACCATTCATCGCCCCGGTGCCACACTGCCATGAGCTTCCCGTACCCACTCCCCAAAAAGAGAGCAGCCATCTTTAGAAGAGAGCAGGAAGTCAGAGAGCGAGGAAGACGTAGATCCAGATGACAATTTCAGGGGTGGAGCTGAGGAGAGAAACCCATACTACCCCAACCAAAAGACCTCAACGACTTGATCAGAGATCTTGGTCTCACCAAGTCCAATGCTGAGCTTGTGACATCTAGGCTCAAGTAGTGGAACTTGTTGAATAAATCTTGATTTTAAGCTTTCATGACTGCAGGATTCCATACTCTTTGGTTCTTTAGGTAAAGTCACGTAGGTAGAAAAAAATATAGATCACGACGTTTCGATTGCAACACAAGCAATCGTCATCAGGTGAGACAACTACAGCAAGAAAAAAACTGATGAAGTAGGTGAGAGCGCTGCCGTGCCACGAGGTTATATTGGTATCGGCGGTAGGGGGGAGGGAAGAATGGGGGAGTGAGAGAGGGGGCGGGGCAGAAAGTGGGACCCCGCAGCAGCACTTGAGTCACCGAGGGAGAGATCCGAGAGAAGCACAGAGAGAGACACAAGGAGTCGGAAATAACAGCTGACATAGGCAGGTAGGATGGAAAACATCACAGTCAGTTAAGACTTTACCTGGTTAATAACGTCTTTCCAATGATTGCTCAGTTTGTATCCATCTTTTCGGTTGAAGTTGTGTCTGTGTTTTTATCTGGATGGCTTCATGAACAAATCTCTGATGATAGCCGGTGGGTTTGCAGAGTTGGATAAAAGTGTGCAAGTCACATATCAGAGGAAGCGTCACCAACCTTTTTGCAGCTTCTTCACCCGTCAAGATGGGCTCTGCTTCTGCCACAATGTGACCAGTCTGTTCGAGGTAATTGGAATTGCCTGTAACCAGAATGAGTGGCGCCTCTTCATTGCCAGCTCATCCTGGAGCCTCAAAGCCATGGTGCTTCATAATGGTAACAAGTACCCGTCTCTTCCCCTGGCTCACTCGGTGCACCTCAAAGAGGATTACAACAGCATCAAGATATTGCTGGACACCTTGAAGTATGATGAGTATGGCTGGGAGGTCATCGGAGACTTCAAAATGGTGACATTCCTGATGGGACTCCAAGGCAGTTTTATCAAGTTTCCCTGATATCTTTGTCTTTGGGACAGCAGGGACACCAAGGCGTACCGCCACAGGCGAAACTGGCCACAACGGATCGAGTTCTCTGTGAGGAGGAACAATGCAAAGTGGAAGCCACTGGTGGACCTCCGGAAGGTGCTGATGCCACCACTGCACATCAAATTGGGCCTAATGAAACAATTTGTCAGAGCTGTATAGATAAGGAGTCGGCAGCCTTCAAGTACCTTCAAGACTTCTTCCCGAAGCTGTCTGAGGCAAAGGTCAAAGCCGGTGTCTTTGTCGGACCACAGAAAAAGACGATCCTGGAGTGCAATGAATTCCCCAAGAAGCTCACTAGTAAGGAGAAAGCGGCTTGGAACAGCTTTGTCGCATTGGTTCGTGGCTTCCTGGGCAATTGCAAGGTCGAAAACTATGTGGAGCTGGTTGAGACTCTGGTGAAAAACTACGGCACAATGGCCTGTAGGATGCCTGTCAAAGTCCATATCCTTGATGCTCATCTTGATAAATTCAAGGAGAACATGGGAGCATACTCGGAGGAGCAAGGCGAGCGCTTCCACCAGGATATACAGTGAGGGAAAAAAGTATTTGATCCCCTGCTTATTTTGTATGTTTGCCCACTGACAAACAAACGATCAGTCTATAATTTTAATGGTAGGTTTATATGAACAGTGAGAGACAGAATAACAACAAAAAAATCCAGAAAAACGCATGTCAAAAATGTTATAAATTGATTTGCAGTTTAATGAGGGAAATACGTATTTGACCCCTCTGCAAAACATGACTTAGTACTTGGTGGCAAAACCCTTGTTGGCAATCACAGAGGTCAGACGTTTCTTGTAGTTGGCCACCAGGTTTGCACACATCTCAGGAGGGATTTTGTCCCACTCCTCTTTGCAGATCTTCTCCAAGTCATTAAGGTTTTGAGGCTGATATTTGGCAACTCGAACTTTCAGCTCCCTCCACAGATTTTCTATGGGATTAAGGTCCGGAGACTAGGCCACTCCAGGACCTTAATGTGCTTCTTCTTGAGGCACTCCTTTGTTGCCTTGGCCGTGTGTTTTGGATCATTGTCATTCTGGAATACCCATCCACGACCCATTTTCAATGCCCTGGCTGAGGGAAGGAGATTTTCACCCAATATTTGACGGTACATGGCCCCGTCCATCGTCCCTTTGATGCAGTGAAGTTTTCCTGTCCCCTTAGCAGCAAAACACCCCCAAAGCATAATGTTTCCACCTCCATGTTTGACGGTGGAGATGGTGTTCTTGGGGTCATAAGCAGCATTCCTCCTCCTCCAAACACGGCGAGTTGCGTTGATGCCAAAGAGCTATATTTTGGTCTCATCTGACCACACCACTTTCACCCAGTTGTCCTCTGAATCATTCAGATGTTCATTGGCAAACTTCAGACGGGCATGTATATGTATTTTCTTGAGCAGGGAGACCTTGCGGGCGCTGCAGGATTTCAGTCCTTCACGGCGTAGTGTGTTACCAACTGTTTTCTTGGTGACTATGGTCCCGGCTGCCTTGAGATCATTGACAAGATCCTCCCGTGTAGTTCTGGGCTGATTCTTCACCGTTCTCATGATCATTGCAACTCCACGAGGTGAGATCTTGCATGGAGCCCCAGGCCGAGGGAGATTGACAGTTCTTTTGTGTTTCTTCCATTTGCGAATAATCGCACCAACTGTTGTCACCTTCTCACCAAGCTGCTTGGCGATGGTCTTGTAGCCCATTCCAGCCTTGTGTAGATCTACAATCTTGTCCCTGACATCCTTGGAGAGCTCTTTGGTCTTGGCCATGGTGGAGAGTTTGGAATCTGTTTGATTAATTGTTTCTGTGAACAGGTGTCTTTCTATACAGGTAACAAGCTGAGATTAGGAGCACTCCCTTTAAGAGTGTGCTCCTAATCTCAGCTCATTACCTGTATAAAAGACACCTGGGAGCCAGAAATCCTTCTGCTTGAGAGGGGGTCAAATACTTATTTCCCTCATTAAAATGCAATTCAATTTATAACATTTTTGACATGCGTTTTTCTGGATTTTTTTTGTTATTCTGTCTCTCACTGTTCAAATGAACCTACCATTAAAATTATAGACTGATCATGTATTTGTCAGTGGGCAAACGTACAAAATCAACAGGGGATCAAATACTTTTTTCCCTCACTGTACACCGTGCTAACCATAACCATACCCTCTTACACATAACACACCCAGAATGTTGCGATATTCCTCCTCCCCATGCCTGCCTTTGTATCCCCCAGTGCCCCATCGCTCAACAAATCACAGATTAGGGATGGAGCTAAGCTGAGTGAGGATGTTGCAAACACGCAGAGACACAGAAACCCATAGACTCACACTGTGTACTATGCAGACGGGCCTTTACCGGAAACATCTATTATATATGTTCCTTTTAAGGCTATGATGCTATTGACGAATGTGTTTAGGATTTGTTGTTGTTTGTGCTTGTGCAACAGCGGCATCAGCAGCTAATTTGTCAATCGTTCCCACCCACTCTTAGCAAAGGAATGAACAGCCCCGCCTACTGTTATGCGAGCCCCGTCCATTGTTAAGCCCCTGGTTAGTTAACTTTATCCACCGCCTGCTGCCGTGCGGCTATATAAACTGCGAGCTGAGCAGCTCTCCCTCAGTCAGGTCACAGATCTTACTTCAGCAGTGTTTGAGGGAACCCTGTCGTCTTGTGGAAGTCTTGCTCCTCTCAGTTACAAAATATCCTCCGAGAGAATTCCTGTTAAATGTGTTCTTGAGTCCCATTCTCTCAATCGAAAGCAGAAATAATGGCACCCCAGGTTCGTCAAAACTACAGCCAAGATGTGGAGGCGATCATTAACCGCCAGGTCAACATGAATCTGCATGCGTCCTATGTCTACCTCTCCATGGTGAGTGGATGAATAATGGGTGAGTGGGTGAATAACTATGTAACAAGATTTTTGTTCCTGGGTAGTAAGTTTTATCTTTTAATTGCTTATGCCTCAAACGTATAGAAAATGGCAATTATTCCCCACAAACTTTGCTTTTATGACCAGGACTTTACGTGAAGGAATTACACAAATGCACACGTTTTCTCATTGAAAATCGGTACATTTCAAAATATTACTGTCCTGGTCACAAAAACAACGTTTGTGGGGACTAATAACGAATTTCTGTACTTCTAAGGCATAAGCAATTAGAAAATAACACTACCCAGGAACAAAAAAGATTGATTTTTTTGTTACGCAGTTTTCTTTCAGTGGACGAGTCAAACTCAGATGGCAGACTGGGAGCATGTGTTGCTTTCAAGTTAGAAACTGCCATCTTCATCGTTATTATCTTCTTGGCGAAGAAAGTTGTAAGTACTGTGCACAGACCTGGTTGACGGGTTGATGGGTGATTGGAGTGCAGAAGACCATTCGCAATGCACAAGAGAGCACGGGGCTCGTGAGCGGACTCATTGATGCGCAGAGCATAGCATGATCTGCGAGATTCAAGAATGAGTCGGTTGGTAGATCTGCAGGCGGCACTGTGAGTCAGACAGTCTCGAAAGCGGTTTCTTCCAAGGGTGCTCCAGCCAACTCTGCGTCTGCTTTGCCGTGATCGCCTCCGGTGATAGTTACTGTGCGCTCTTCCCGTTCTATTTGTGCTTGTTCGGCACGAGTTCATCAAGAACAGCAGTGATGTCATTTTAAACTTTAGCTGCAAATGAATCGACTGCCGATGCAGGATACAGACACGCCAATGCACCAGATCTTCTGACGAAAAGAATCATAGTCCAGTCGTTTCCAGTCTCTCTATGATATCGCTGTGACGGGTGGGAGAATAATAGGTAATACAACTTTGCACGTTACGAGACTGTGATCTTAAATACCCACATTTTACATAATTTCGGTCCCAATTATGATATCGGTGGATGTGAAGATGTGACCGAATATATTTCCCGAGTGACATGTTGCGCCGCTGATGTACTGGGTTAAACTGACTGCTGATAATCTCGGCGAGATCACTGTTGATTTTACCGCAAGAATCAGTCGGTTTGTCAGCACGAGCGTGCGAGTGAATTAACTGGGCATGGATCCAAATCACGTGACCAACCACGGCTCAATAATTATCTTTTATATTACTCCACTTATTTTCCTAGGAAAGCCTCAGAGGATTTATTCTTTTTTCAGGAGGATCCTGCCAGGTGTTCGCAGTAGGGGGCGATGTTTCTGCTGTGTGTGATGCCAATTGAGTAATCTGCAGGTAATTTATTCAGCAACGTGACATCGAATCCTTTTTTTAACTAGTGGTGGTGGTAGTTTCGTGAATGTATTTCCAGCAGTAGCCCGTTCACTGCTGTGCCACCTTGGATCTTACTGCGGTGTGTTTACCATAAAATAATACCCGCCATCTGTATGACTTGGTGGACCGTAAGGAGCCCGTGATGGCATTAACAAGAGTATGACATTCTGTGCTCACGTCACGGTCCATAATTTGCCAAATTAGAAAAATTACACTCCAAATTACTTGATTGGAATTACACAGCAGCCACATTCATCCCGACTAAAGAACTTGGCAGGACTCTTCTGAAACGCTGTCGAGATTCTTTAGTGTTTCCTGGATAAAGAAGCCTTATCAATTGTTGTATTATGTTGCTGCTATGAGGGCTAGTGGTGGTTTGTGAAACCACTCCATCCCCACCCAACATTCCTAACTCTGCTGCATTTACACTCATATCTCTTCCAATACCCTGACCACCACCCAAACCAGCCAAATCCCTCTGTCCAGGGAAGGGGGGTGGAGGCTTAAGAGGAAGGTGTGGGGCTGAACCTCCCTGTTGATTTAAAGTAATGAAAGCATAGAATAAAAGGTGCAGCAGGCAGTCATACTGTTTAGTGCCACAGATGCGGCCACAAACCAACTAGTGGTCATTAATTCTGATGGTGATTTTGTTGTGAGTCGTAATGGTTGTGGTTATGACAGTAATGATGTTAGTTGTAATGGTGATACTGGATGTCTATGGAAACAGGCGTCCTACTTTGATCGCGATGACGTGGCTCTGAAGAACGCACGCAAGTTCTTCAAGGAGTTGTCCGACAAGCAGCACGAGCACGCCGACAAGCTGCTCGCGTACCAGAACAAGCGCGGCGGCCGTGTGGTGCTGCATGATATCAAGGTACTGGGAGATGGAGCCACTAAATCAGAATTGCTAATCTGTGAGGGCAACTCAGAGAGACGGGGAGGGGCAATATTAATTAAATGTATAGGGTATTAAGTCGATCCCAACACCCTGGTTGCCCATGATGTTACACATCTCTCCTTCACCCATCCGCCGCAGCAGTGCAATCCTCTGGGAAGTCCTGCGAATCGAAGAAAACAGTCACCTTCCCATTCATCAGGATCTCAATAACATCTCTTGTCATCGCTTGAAGTCACGCAATCCCTTTTGGACCCATGCGCTTAACCTTAAACAATGGTAATTTAACCCCAATGAAGCTTGGAGAGCTGAATGGAATTCAAAAGAACTCACGTACACCTTGTGAAAGACCTAACGCAGACGATCCCTGGATTTGATCTTCCGTGAAGCTCATGGTCCACCATAAATCACATCCACACTAACCATGGCAGATGTGGATACTTGATACACAAATGTAAAATTGAAAACTCTCCAGTATTTGGTTCTATGGCCCCTATGCTGTTACTGTTGGCCTGATACTGTTAACATTTGTATGGGTACCTTTTTCTATGTTGGTAAATCACCCTGCCCCTGTCCTCCCCCGAGAGGGTTTTTTTTCAACTCCCTCCTCCCGTGCACGAGGACACTGTGTACTGTACCTACACTCATGGACAATGCAAGGCACACAACATGGGTCACGGCTGATCGCCTCACTTTATTACTATTGTAGTAGGTTCAAGGAGACTTGGACGACATAGTCGGAGGCACACTTATTTATTGACCACAGTTGTATATTACAGGCCGAGATATACAACACTTGAAGGGGTATCGGCCCCTTCACCCGTCTAACAGGGAGATCCCACAATCTCTGTCCCGGCTAGCCTACTCCTAGGTCCTCCACTACAGGGCTAGGGGAGGCTAGCTGACCCAGCTCTGGTTAAGCTGGGATTACGGCACCCTGAGTCCCCAGACCGGCTCTTAGAAGAACATCGGCTCTGGGCTCTCGGGGCCACGCCACTGGCTTGCCCTGGTCGGTCCTGAGAAGGACGGCGATCCAGGGAAGTCCCAGGGCCTATCTAGCCAGTCTTCTTTCTTCGCTGGTTAAAGCTAAACACTGAACCCCGAGCCCTCCGGCTCACCGCCTTATATAGCAACTCCCCCACCGAGGGGTGGGGCCGTGGGGGATCCCAGCGCCGTATTAGCCCCTCAGGCTAAACGGTGCGGACGTGGATGTAAGCATCTCTTCGCGTACGGGCATAACCACGCCTGGTGTGTTTGTTTGCTCTCCCGTAACACCTCTACACTATCACCGGAGGACACAGAGATTCCCCCCTTGGGTGGCCAGTGTTTGGCCCCCTCCCCAACTTTCCCCTCTCCCTCCAACTCCCTGAATCAGTACTCACTACGCATAATACAGGTTTTTTGGGTTAGATCGCGTAAATATAATGTGTCGTTAAACCTGCCACCATCCGACATAGCTAATTAGTAAGGTTTGTCACTGAAACAGAACATGCCAATTCGTTATTAGTACAGCACACCGGTGTGTTGGGGAGCAAAGCCACAACATTTACAATCTGAGTACGACGTTTCGCCAGTAATTATAATTAGCTTCATCTGGCGACAGCTAGATTTGTGGAGAAATCATGTTTCGTTCCTTAAATAGTTGGGTAGATGTGACAACACTTGTGCGTTCTTCTTACACAAAGTGGGAGGGATTAATGAATGAATATAAATGACTATGGGTATCCATTGCCGTTTGGTTTATATATATGGTAATCACCTACATTATGGATGCGCATTATGTAAGCCCATTGTTCTTGTACTTCCTGTAGATTGTGTGTACTAAAATATCCATACAAACGGTCATTCCTATTGAAGTGTAATGTGAGGCTATGTTCGGGTGGTTGATTGATCACACCTCGTTACGATGATTGGCTCTACCGGTCCTGGCCCATAGCCAATGGGGGGAAGTCTAGGGGTGTGGCCCTGATGTAATGGGAAGGTGACATCTGTAAGTAGATGATTGGATCTGCTGGCTTTAGCCACAGCCAATGGGGGGACGAGTCAGGGGCGCGGTCCTGGGATCGTGCGATGGAGTCTGGAAGATTCCATGGAGGTTATCCAGGATTGGTGGAAAGGTACCACGTGACCCGGGTATTAAAAGGGGTGGAGACGGACAACACGTGGTCAGATCTGGAACTAACGGAGGGTGAGGCTACGCTGGAGCGGGGTCCAGGCTGCCACGTGGCCGCGCGTGTCTCTCTCTCTCCCTCTCATGCTGTCTGTTAGCAAGTAAAGGAGTATGACAGGAGTGTTGTGAACAAAAGACAAATAAAGACCGGATTCCAGAAGTCGCTTCCACGACCTTTATTACAGAAGTATGGTGACCTGTATAGGCATGCATTCAAACAATGTGTTATTTGATGATTCGCTTCCAAGCAGCACTAAGTCTGTAGCTAACTGAACGGTTAAAATCATTTTTCTCTAAATTTCGATAGATTATCTCATTAGTCTTGGCTAGTAGTAACTAGTTTTGCACATAACTTCAACATTATCAAAATCAATTGAGTGTCATTGTTGGCACGCTTGTTCCACCACTGCTGACAGTTGTATTTGGGAGTATTGAATATTTCTTTGGTGTTCTTTTAGTCTCGTGCTGGTCATTCGGCCTGTTTGCCCAACATAGCATTTGCCACAAGTGCAATTAATCCAGTACACACCTTCTGTTGATAGCTTCGTTATTATAATACATCTTTTGTACCAGATATTAATTTATGTATTTTATCAGCAGGGCATTGAATGCCAAAACCAAATCAAATAACACGATGATTGAAACTGACCAAGTAATTAAAACTATAAAAAAACGTACATTATGGGAGTAACTGATAAACTAGCGAGATGTTTGGAAAAAACAAAACATCCAAGTCAGATTTGGCACCTTCCATCGAGCCCCGATATAGAGAAATTCCTATTTGAGACTCCCCTACCTCCATATCCACCCGGATTGGAGGGAAGCTATGGAAGCCCCGAACGAGCTCCCCGAACTCCTGGAGGCCCTGGGTTTCTCCCCCGTAGGGAAGGCCCCAGGCCCCGACAGCATCCGATTGGAGTTATACAGAATCCTGGGCCCAATGATCCTAACACACTCCTTGACACTTTAAATTAGTCTGTTATACAAGGGAAACTCCCGGACTCCACAGAAGAGGTGGCAATCACCGTCATACATAAACTGGGATTCCCCATAGACGAGACCAAGAGCTACAGGCCCATCTCTCTCTTGAATACGGACTATAAGCTGTATGCTAAAACCCTGGCGTGGTGCCTTGAGAAAGCCCTTCTGGAGGTCATTAGCTCTGCCCAGACGGGGTCCGTTAAAGGCAGGAATCCCTCAGACAACATCTGAATCTTGGTCGACTCGGTTGATATTGCCTCCAGGTCAAGCACAAAAATATACGCCATTGCACTAGGTGGGGACAAGGCTTTCCATCGGGTAGAATGGGGGTTTCTTTTTGGTACCATGCAGAGGTGAGCCTCCCCCCCCCCCACAGTTCAGCAAAATGTGCAAGCTCCTTTATGCTCATTCGACTGCGACAGTTACTCCTAATGGCTTTGTCTCAGAGAGGTTCCCCCTCAATAGAGACATGAGACAGGGATGCCCTCATCCCCCCTTCTCTTTGTAATTGCATTTGAGCCTCTGGCACCCAGAATATGAAGTATCCAGGAGACATTAGGTATACACTATGGGCAAGTTGAAAATAACATAAATTTATACGCCGGATAATGTTCTGCTTACAAACACAAACTGGACACCTCAATACCTGCCCTCCTGAAGCTTATTGCGGAGTACGGTGCAGTCTCAGGCTATAAACTCAGTGTCACAATGTCAGAAATCATGATTCTGACCCCGACCTTCGGGAAGACCTCTGCCCAATGTCTCCCCCTCCAGTTGGTGCCTCTCCCAAATCAAGCACCTCAGGGTGAATAGCACTTCTAACCTAGCGGACCTCTTCAAACAGAACTCCCCTCCCCTGGGCTCATCTGGTCCAACACCATGTGAGACTAGGCTCTAAGAAAAGCTGTCTCGGGTGTGGACCAATCCATTTCAAGGACAGTGCCTACATTATCAGAGTTGTGTTTTTTGTTTGCATTCCGACCGCAGGTATTGTGATCAATGCAAACATGACTCCTTGTAAAAAAGGTGTCAGTTTTGTTTGCAGATAAAACGGTAAAAAAAAATTATAAAGGCAGGGGATGTTGACCTAAATATCCTCTCCCCGGTATGGGTATGGCTGATGGAGGATAGGGCCCACTATACATTATCTGAGACATACCAACTCCTACTTCTGGGCCCTACCGAGGTGAGGCAAAAGACAATGGCGCTTTGAGAGGAGGCGCTGGGTCCGCCCGATCCCATCAGAGTCTTGATGGGACTCTTGATTGGATTTGTGCTAGAACGCATCTCCCCTACTGTCAACAACATCTTGAGCGTTGACCAGGCTGGTTTCCGCCATGGCCAAAGCACTTCTGACCAGGCCCTGGCATTTATGTTTGTTGAGAATGGCTTCCAGCGACGTCTCAAAACAAGTGCAGTGTTCCTGGACCTCACAGTACCGTATGATGCCGTCTAGCACAGTCAACTTCTGCTAAAGCTGTTACGAGTCCGGCGGTGCCGTGCTCATAAGTGAACACTGTCGAGCTTCTCAAACAGTGACCTGGCAATGGTAGCAGACGACTACAGCACATGATTACTCCAGCCAAGTACAAGCAAGACCATTTGCAGTGTGTTTCACATGCTCAGTGCCAGAGCCACTTATAAGCTCAAAGTACACCTGAATGGCCAGTTCTTAAAACATGGCCCAAAGCCGGTGTTCCTTGGAGTGACGTTGGATAGAAGTTTGACGTACCGTCCATAACTTGACAAGACGGCTGGGCAAGTTGCGCTCGCGGAACCATCAGTTGGCCTGGCTGGCTTAACGTGGGGCGCTGGTGCTCAGTCATTT